TAGAATTAAGGTTTTGTACTTTTAAATCTTCAAAACCTAATACACCAATTTAGATAAATTAAAATTTACTCTTGGCTTCGAGGATTGGAGAAATAAAACAAAAGAAATGTAGCATATAAGGTGATTATGTAAGATGATTTCTTTTGTTATCCAAGGCTCAGAGCCAAGAATGAATTTTAACAAATTTTTAATTTATCGAAATGTTTTGGTCTATTTTTGCGAATACAGTATAGCCCTAAAAGATGTTTCAAAAAAGTCTCAAATAATTCATAAAGAAAACAATGTGAAAATATATAAGAGTTTAATGCGCGTCCTAAAAATTAATGCAAGATGAGTGGGTTTTTAGCTCCGATCTTAGTTTCCGTTTTCTCAAACACCTACTGCCGTCGACTGTTTCGGAATGTAAACATTTTAAGCTCCATTCAGTAATCAAATTCAAAATGTAAAATCGTCTTTACAATCGAGGGTCTTCCTTTATCCTCTGCTGCCAATACTCATCGCTTGTTTAGGTCGTGGGGGTTCTTAGAGTGTACCCTCCCAACCCACCCCTGTAGGGTTGTAAAATCTCGCATGAGCAACACCGAACGAATGTAGCGCGAAATCCCAACTCGACAGCCTGCTCGTTGGCTAAATTGAATAGATATTACCCCTTTTTCAGTTCTTTTTACCGGTGAAAGTAAAAGAAATCACATCAAAGAAATACAATTTCGTCTTGTAAAATAGTTAAAACTAAATAATCCCTCTCAAACGTTCTGCCAAAGAACTTTCGTTCATTTTAATGAAAGTACAAAAGAATTTAAACAACAGATTAAAAAGTTAATAATCCGGCCACAATGTGATGTATGAGTGAGACGATTAAAACAGTTATTGGTATATGCCAAGACTGACCAAATCGATTTTCTCCCGAAATCATTCATGCACCATCAAGAGCAAATTTTATGAGAATTTATAAAATGATCACATGCAACAGGGAAAGCGCTTTGATGTTTTATCAAATTTTCTCTACTAATGCTTTCACGAAATATGTGGAGAATTTGTATGTGAACACAAGGGATTAAAGAGGTAAGGCAAGGAGACAGTTCAGTGTCTACTTAATTTACCCTAGAAATGTTATTCCAGATTAATAATAGCTTGGACCCGTAACTTTGAGCCACCTTGCTTACTGCTCTGTTGTGTGCCTTTTTTTAAAGTTCCCCATTCCCGTTAAGTATAAAGGACCTAAGAAAGGGCGCTAAACCCGGTGGAGTACTTCCAACAATGGCCTACACGGGGAGGTTCCGCCCGAGATGGTTATATAAAAGTAATATGAAAGAGTAGGGATTTCACTCGTTGAAGTATATAAAAGGGTAGGAAAATCTGTCATATCGGTCTGTAAAAGGGTCCAAAAAGGTTGACAAAAGGTTTTATGGCTGTTAAAAAGTCGAGAAAATTTCCCTTTTTGGTTGTCTTCATTATCTCAAAAACTCATTTATTTAATAGTTCATAAAGAAAAAGACAGAAATCAATGTTTAATGAGTGTTTTTATATAGATAAAGACTAAGCTAAAATTTAAGTCTAAGTTTTAGACCAAAATTATTAAAGTATCTATTTTTAGTAAACCTGATAATACACTCCCGCTCGTTTTTTGAACAGTACTTAAAACATAGTGCACAAAAAGTAGTTAAAAGGGATTCAAATTGGCAAACTAGGTATGTGAAGTGAGCAAGTAAACACTTTATTTAGTAAAACACTAAATAGCTGAAAGCTAATAAACTTGTGGGCCTCACTTGTGCCACGGTGATGCGGGCTGTAGTTCTGCATGTAATCTTGTAATTTGCCTTTCTTCTCACAGTTGTAAATCTCCATACAGTTTCACAACGGTTACAATTATCAGTTTTTACTCTTACAGTTGGTTTTTACCTTATAACTAGTCATCGTTTACACTTTTATTTTTTAATCAGTCAGGCAATTGTAATCTATTTAACATATTAATGCTCTTTTACATTAAGGTTTGGGAAATGAATGATTAACGGCAAAGCGGGGGCAAAGCGAAGCTGGCACAGCTAGGCCAAAGGGTAGCAGGTAATACGACCCTTGACTTTTGTAGAGGAAAATTTTTTTTGTTTAACACCTTATCCAGGTTGAGTTTTTCTTTTAGAAATATCTCATTGAGAATGTTGATAATACCATTTTCGAACTTCTAGATTTCAAAAGTTTCTGGGAGAGGATGCCCCAGACCCCTCCCCAACAAACTCGCGTCTCCGGCGCGAGTTTTCAAGTGCCCCCCCGAGTTCAAAATGGCGCTCCGCCGTACCTGTAAACTTCCCTTATAAGATAGAAAAAGCTCAATAAGCTTCTTTAAAAGGTGACCATTTTCCTCTTAATTACCCATTCCTATTTCACGCGCATACAAGGCGAACCTTTTCAGAGCCACCCCAGGAGTTTTCAAAAATTATTAGAAAAACCTGTCATTTTGACCCCATTTTAGTGAGAAATGTTTAACCGTTAATATTCGATGATGCGTCAAGTGATGAAAACCAAAAACAATTCTCTAACAATTATACACAGAGAGTTCAATCAAGCAATGAAAAATGTTGCATTTAACTATAAAATCACTGCTTATCAACGAAAAAGAAGCTTTTCTAATCTTAAGAGTGTACATCTTCAACAATTTAAATCTTCTAAACTAATACTGAATGCATTTCGTCTGTTTATAAGGGTGGTACAATTTGCAGGCCCCCTTAGTTCTGACATGGGAGCTGTGTAATCTCATTTTCCAGAAACTATTTTTTAAGATGAGCTCCAAACCACCACTGAGTAGTAGAGTTGTCTGCCTGTGTACAGCGGAACTTGGGATTAATGTCGTTATAGAAGCCAAAGTTGTCTTCACTCGATACCGCTCCAACAGTTGCATTTAGCTCGCAGAAATCGATAGAGCTGTCAGTATGCAAACCCAGCTCGAAGTTCGCCCAAAACGGTGCTGTAAGGTTCGTGCCATTGAGCCCCCTGATATCCACATATTCTACCTTCTTACACTCGTCATTACCAAGGAAATCGACGATGTTGAAGTCTTTGAAGTTGCCGCGGAGGTAGTCTGTGAAATCGATGCCATGAGTCGGATAGCTGCATGTTGCTCGCCAGTGGGTGGAGTGAACCTGCAGTGATCTCATTCGCTCCAGACTTAAGCGGTAACGATCCCCGTTCGGGGAGTTCTCGTTTTCCGGGGCATTGACATGAAATGGGGTACTGCGAAAAGCAGAAATACAACGATTTTTTTTACTCCACGACATGACCAGTGTCCATGCAATACCGGGCTCGGATTTTAGATCACAGTAGGCTGGGAAACTGTTTCCGTCGTTATCATAGATCTTATAAATGCCATCTTTGTAGGCACCTTGCTGTCCATGTTCGACGCAGGATGTCGGACGGAATCTACCCTGGAAGAAACAAAACAGGCGACTATGCATTTTGTTTGCGCCAATTTCCACTAGTGGGAACTTTAATCTCTGCTCTTTTCTGTTCTACCAGTTCACCAATCTATAGTCTCCCTCACGGCCGTATTGTTTCGTCACACAACGCTTAAGCTGCGGAGAAGACTACCCAATCTAAGGCTCATCTCCTTGATTCATCTCTTTTAAGAGATGAGCGGTTTATTGATGTTTGCCTTTCTGAAAATACCGTTGGTAGTTTATTATCGTCTGCCCATGGAGATACAAAAAAAGTCATCTGTTTAGAATACTTTATTCCACTGAAATTGCCTATGAATTTAACTTTCACTTTTTTACTAAATGAGGCTTTACAGTTTTGTCTTAAAATTCTGAGATCCATCATCAGCTTAGGTTTTTCATCTTGACACTACAGGATAATTAATAATTTAGACTATGTTCGCACCTTCAAGGCAAAGTGATGCGAAGTCTTGTTTTCTTTGAATTCGTCTGGGTTGATGTCTTTATTCGAAGTCAGCAATTCGCACCAAAGTTGTCTATCGGCTCCTTTGGCGGCGGCCAGGTTCAGAGACAAACATGACGGATTGCTGAGACATTCAAAGGTGCAGTCAAAGGTGTCGTACACTGTAATCGTTCCAATTCCAGGGACGTTTAAGAAGTGGTACTCTTCTTTTACAAAAACATCTTGAAGATGATTTGGGTGGTGCATTGCAGGCGATTCTGTTATAATAAAAAATGGTGATTCCACGAAGCAGGCCAAAAATTCCCGCAAAAAATCGGGTAACTTCAAGTGAAAACTTCAATTATAAATATATTTAACTGATTTGTCCCTCCTCAAGATTTAAAATATATGTAAATCGTTGAAAAGTAACTTTAATCTACGCTTGCCAAAAACCAGAAAACCAAAATTTTCAATCAGCCGCTTATAGTTTTCCGCACTTGGCCGGATAAATCAGGGGCGTAGCGTCCTTTACGCAAATACGCACGTGCGTTAACTTGAGAAATTGGTAGGATTTTTTGAAAAGGTTTTCTGTTATAAGTAAGAGCCATTTGTAGTGTCGTGACTTTACTTGGTATTCGGTGAGGGTAAAAGGAGGAACGAGTTTGCGGAATGGCATGTGACTACGATGACAATCAAAAAGCCAGGAAAGACACCTTGATTTCATACGGTCGATTAGCTTTTTGCTCAGCCACAAAGATTCTAGTTGCCTTTACTAGTCTGGCTGCTGGCGGCACCGATACTACACCACGAAAGTCGGCCATTGAAGAAAAGATGTTTTGGGGGTCACGATATCAAGGGCAAAATATTTGCACGATTAATGTCACTTTTTTAACCTATAGTAACGAAACCGCGTGAAAAGTGTTTCTTTTTAAGACGGTGGGTCGCGTGTTTAATCGTGACATAATATTCAGAGACCGAACCTATCTTGAATTTTGTTTCCTTGGCTGTGTGGTGAAGTTTCAGGCAAGCGAAGCTAACAGCTGGCGGAGAAGAGCGAGCTCAAATCCAGGCAATCGAGTTTGTGTGCTTTTTCTCTTTCTTTCTTTCTTTTCTTTTTCTTTTCCTTCCTACTTTAAGCATTTTTTTCTCCTTCACCTTTACCGTTATTAAGTCAGTAAAACCGATCGGGCATCAAACTAACTGCCACGAAGAGACGCGGAAAGGCGGAAAAGAGACAGAGAGTAGTTCGCCGCTTCACTCGATTTGTAGATTACGGATTAATGTTTGACTCGAGGCGTTCGTTTAGTCTCGAGTGTGATCTGATTGGTTCACCGTAAAAAAATCCCTAGAATTGTAGCTATCCCCACTTCACGTTCAGAGAGCGTTTTTTACCCTTTAGCGTTATGATAAAGAGTGACCCTATTTGGTTCCTATTCAACTGTGTTTCAATTTTAGCCTGGCGATTGCTCCTTCAAATTTGGTGCGAAAGAAGGCCTGGCAGAGACGTGCGCATGCTTTCCTGTTTAACTTATTTCTTTGCGCCATTTGCCATAAATTAAATTCTGCATAATTATGTCTTTCCGCAAGCCATGCCACATGCCATTCCGCAAACGCATTCCGCCTTTTACCCTCACCGCTTTGTATTGTCCAGATTTGTTCTTGTCTGTCTCGCTGTTATTTCGCATCGTTTTTACACGTACAATACAACAGTCTGAGTAGTGGAATGTGATAAATTCGAAACATTCTTCAAATGTTTGCCTTCAGGGGATCCCACAATACATTGCGTATTCAAAAAAAAAAAACGGAAAAGAATCGACCCCGACTAATTATCATTCCTTTTAAGATTTATCTGCAAAGTTTTCCCATTCAAAAGCTTTCCATTTTTTAGTTTTTTCTCTCTCTCTATAGAAGTCGAAAAAGTCTTCAAAGACTACTTTAATGTCGCTCAATTTGGAAATCATTAGCCTGTGCCAGGCTCTCAGATAGTATACGTAGTGGGAACTTATTAAAAGTGAAATTAAGACGCGCTCCCCAGCCCCCGCGCGTTTTTCGCATTTCTTATTACTGAACGACTTTCCACCACTATCTCGGAGCCTGGAACAGGCTAGGAAATCATGGACAAACCATGCCGACGATAATCGGCCATGTCCATGTGGCCATGGCGCGGTATCAACAAGAATTTTGCAGGAAATTTACTCCTAGCGAACAGATGTAGTATTTTCTTCAATGACAAACTTTATAGATATTGAGAACAGCTGAAAATAAATATATGTTCCTTTCCCTTGCTCATGACCGAAATAAGGGAAAAACTCAAAAAAGTCAGCAAAGGAGTAAGCGTGGACTAAGCGTGCGGAAAACTTACACAAACATGCACATGCACAACTCTCAATTCTTCCAACCGATGCTTTTAGACTCCAAATTTCTCGACAAAAAGACGCCTCGCCTTGTGTTTGTAAACATCCCAGTACCAGCTCAGAGAAGAACGTTTTAAAAGCTTTTTTAGGTATCACGTTCTATTGTAAACAAGGCTGTAAACTGCCAATTATTTATACATGGAAAGCAAAAACGTTATTTTAATTTGTTTAAGTTTTTATAAAACCATATGGAACCCGTGTGCGTACTTGTCAAAATGGTCACGTTACGCCCCTGATAAATGGTATCGGATACTCTTTTTTTCAATTTCTAGATAGTACTTCAAACTCGTTTTTTGAGCAACCTTGAGGGATGAATAGGGGTGTCAAGACAGGAGGTATGGAGGATGAGGAAGCAAACGCGTTTTTTACCAATAATTCATCAATTAATTTAACTCAACTTATTTTTGAATATACTCCTCAGCTAAATATTTGAATCTTTTTTTTATCATTATTTACTTACGGTCTAAGAGCTAGGTTTAAACAACTTTGTTTGTGAGAATATAAGAAAGAACAAGAACAACGATGAAATTCCAAACTAACCTTCTGCATACAGTGCTTCAAGTATCTTTGAAGACAACACAAAGAAAAGAAACCGACGAAAAAATGGAGAAAACATTTCAATGTTGAGAAGTCATATGGTCTCGAGCAAGCCTTCTGGAACACGCTCGTAAGCCGGAATATCAATATAGCATAAAATCACCAGCCACTTAACATTTTCCTGTTTCAGACACGATGACAACGAGTCAAAGTCTTTTCTAGCCAATAACAGCACTGAAATATTAGACACTCAATTATCAAACTCGCCACAACGTGGGTGGCCAGTAAACCTATTTCGGCCAACCGCAGAGTTGTCTCTTTCTATTATTCTTGCTTCTAGGTATTAGCTCATAATTGTGATTGAATAGGCCTTATAAGTTAAACTCATTTTAACCGAAAACATGCCTCGATATATAGTTCCCTCTAGCCAATTTTAGCAATCTAAAGGTAATTTTCGACAGAAAATATCTTTGCGTCATTAATTCTTTTTACTTTCTAAGAGGAATAGTGAAGAAAAACCCATGTATAATCTGTTTCAAAGCACCTGCTTGAAAACATAATAAACAAAAATGATAGCGTGCCTGTGTTGATCTGTTCTCAAAAAATGCAAACATTGCCAGTAACTAACTATAAAATAAAGAAAAGAATAGAGGAAAAGGTAAAGAGTAAAATTCTCTGTCACCGACAAAAGGTAAAGAAATTTTCATCAGTGGTTCTGTAAATCGTATCAATATCTTATGGAACGCAGGTGGCCGATAGTGATTCAATAATTATTTTCTTCATGAATATGCCCCACCCAATTAAGAGAGAGTAAAAGCAAGAAGTTTATTGTACACCCCTCTGCGGGGCTTTTCTGTGATAATTAAAACTGCAAATGCATAAAAGTGACTCCTAACTTACACAAAGGAAGTTCAAATTTGTCTTGGTAACTGTGTAATAACTAAAACAGCGCAGACTGGTTATTACACAGTTACCAAAACAAACTTGAACTTTTATGCACTTGCGGTGACCAAAATCGTGCCCTGCAAAACGACTAGACCTTCGCGTGGTCCGGATGACCACGTAAAATGGCGGACCCGTCTCCAGTAGCACAATTAAATTAGTGTCTTCGAGTACCACTTTCGTGCTAAACACATTGAAACTCAAAACAAGTGTGTTTTTTTTACCAATTTAATAAAAATGCATAACGTCAATAGCAAGGATGTTTTTTGCGTGTTGGTTTGAAATGTGAGCTGTCTCCGCCCCTCTAACCTGGGGACGGCGCGGGGGAGAGAGACTCTCAAGAAAACAAATTTCGTCATCTCTCGAAATTCTTTTTGGGGTTTCTTCCCTTTTGGTCAAGGAAAGTTTTTCGTGTGCGAGTTGATCATGAGCCGGTTTGTACCTTGATGGAAAAACAACATCATTCATTATTAATAAACAGAAGAAATAAATAAGTTTGAATGAAAGGGAAACATAATCCAAAAATTGATAGCAGCAAGAAAACAAAATTGTTAACGGTCGGTTTTAGGTATCATCGGCGAAAACAGCGTCAAAATGCCTCCAAAGACCAAAACTATGACCAAAAACTAGAGGAAGGTTAGTGAGGAACATCTGCTAAAAAACTGAAAATAAAAAGCTGCACGACAAAAATTGATTCAAGCTATGAGTTTATACTTCTCAAAAGACAACATTTCTTGTTTAGGCGAGAGACATATAATTATACTTGTAAATCTCCATATACAGAAAAGTTTAGGAATATTTGTTTTTAGTCGAGTGGATCGCTTTGCCTTGTGAAAGCTTTCCTCTACAAAGATGAAGTTTTTCCTTCTCCTTTAATACAAATTTGCCTACAATTCTACAATTCTCCTTTCTGATTTTTCGAAACCATCAATTCATCCTTCTCTTGTATAGCACCTTGTTTCATTTTTCGCGTTGAATGACCTTAGAAACGGAAATTACGTATAGTCAAGACAAGTAGAAGGAGCTTGAACCGTGCAACATATATGGACTAATGACCCGTGTGTGTGTGTGGTGGGGGATTACTGGGTACTCCCTAAGATGGCTAAACGGGGAGGCTACGAGTTGATGTATATGAAAGGGTAGGGAAATCTATCATTTAGGTCTGTAAAAGGACTTAAAAGGGCTAACAGACGCTTTAAATAGCTGTGAAAGTGAAATTTCTGGTTTAATGATTTATTCATGCTAATTTACTACAGTTAATTGGGATGCAGCTTTTTAAACAAGGTATGCGAAAGGAGTACTATTTGTCTATGAAAAGTATACGAAAGGGAAGGTTGTTTATAAATTTAGTTATTTTGATGCACATGCGCATGCCAATCCTATTTTTGTGAGATGCCGAATTCTCATATTTGAAGATGCTATCAAACTCCAAATGGGTAAAGTTATGTATCTTTACACGGTGACGGCCTTCTTCCAATACTAATAGCTTTAATGACATGTTTTGGCTCACCTGTGACGTACATTCATAAAACTAGAAGGAAGAACTCCTTCCGTTAACCCTACTGCAGGACAAATGTAAGGAAATTTTCATTTCGTTTTCAAGGGCCCAAAATATTTAATTCCCTTAGCTTTGAAATTCAGAATGCCTCTAGTATTGCTTCGTTTAATTCTAAACTTGAGTCATATTTCTTGGTATAAGCACACTTTGTTTCTCTTAATGATCGTGTGTAGTTTTTCGCTTCTTTCGCTATTTTTTTTCTCGTTTATTCGATAGATAGATAGCTTTATTAAAAATCCATTGCAGCCCAAGGGCTGGATTACGGACTGTACAATACGTTGAATACTAAGACTAACTATTATAAATAAATAACAGTAAATAAATTAAACAAAAGAACAAAGATACTACGTTATGAAATTTAAGAAAATAGCCGCGAATTTACAATAAAACCATTAGAAAATAGCCGCGTTATGCATGATAAAACTATTCATTAGTCTATTTGTGCTACAAAGAGGCACGTTAAAAGCGCGCTTTCTCCTTAAGGCTACAGTACTAAGATTACGTGGCGGCAAAAGGCCATGTAATTTGTGGAAGCTGTCGTCCTTAATTTCATTGAATAGGCGCTCTGTCAGCCATTGGCGCCGTTGATGGAGGGTGGCAATATTGCACTCTTTGAGAGCCTCTTGATAGCCTAAATCTGAGAAAATAATTCTAAGTGCACGGCGCTGAATTTTCTCTAGCTCTTCAGAGAGATACTCAGGCAGACCATTGTGGAAAACTTGGCAGGCATATTCAGACATGGGCCGGATACACGTAGTATAGAAACAAAGTAGCTGCGCAGGATCTCCTTTTGCACGCTTAAGCTGCCTTAATAGATATAGCCTAGAGGCTCCTTTTTTGATAACATTCTCTATATGAGCGTTCCACTTTAGATTGTTTGAAATTGTGCGACCAAGAAGTTTTGCGCTAGTTACAACCTCAATTGGTTTGTTGTTAATAGTAACTGCTTCGAAAGGATCTACAGACCTTGAGAAACTTATCTGCAACTCTTTACACTTGGTCTCATTCAGTTGGAACTTATCTATTTCGGCTTGCCTAACTAGGTCGTCTACAGCAAATTGGATTCCACTTGGTTGGCCTTTGTGGACTGTCTCGGCCATCGATGTGTCATCGACGTACTTCCAAAGGTTGACGCCATTGACATTGATGTCATTTATCATTACCAGGAAGAGCCAGGGCCCCAATTTGGTCCCCTGCGGGACACCTGCCCTGACAGATCCCCAATCCGAGTAGCAATCGTGGGCGAGTTTCACTCGTTGCTTCCTGTCAGTAAGAAAATCTGCAATCCAGTCCAGCACCCAAGGTGGTAGCTCATAATCAGTAAGTTTAGCCATAAGAATGGCGTGGTTGACGAGATCGAATGCTTTCCTAAAGTCAAAGAGCACCACGCGCACTGTAGAACCGTTGCCGTCAGTATTCTTATACCAGTTGTGGAGCATGCTGATTAGGGCATGCACTGTGCTGGAGTTCGGAACAGTTCCATATTGGTTCTGGTCAATCTTCGCAAGGACGGCAGGCTTGATGTAGCCGTCAACGACAAACTCTTCCCCGACTTTGGAGAGAATTGGAGTCAACGAAATGGGTCTCAGGTGTTTGTTCACATCGCTAACAAGTGAAGTCTTCGGGAGGGGTGTAATGTCCGCTTTCTTCCACGAAGTTGGAAGGCGACGCTCCAAAAAGGAAGAATTCAAGATGTCTGCCACTGGTGCAGCCAATAAGTCCGCGTTTTCTTTTAATACCCAGGAGGGGATTCCATCAGGTCCGGATGCTTTGTTCGTATTAAGCGCCGATAGTTTCTCAAAGACTGAAAACTCAGATATCGGACGGCGAAGATCTTGTTGGCATGCACACGCGCGCGCACGCGCGTGTGCATCAGGCGTGACTAGAGGGGTGAAAGCGGTCATTGGTGACAAAAAAGCGTCGTTAATAACATTGGCCAAATGCCTAGGATCTTCCCCCTCATCGGCAAGATGTAGAAGGTCTGCGATGGGGCTCGCGCGCTCGACCTTAGAAAAACCACTTAGCTGTTTGATTTCCTTCCACCATTGGGCAGGTTTACAAGCCTTAAGATCTTTGACTTTGGCATCATAATACTTTGCTCGACACGCCTTCCGATCTCTGTTCACTCTATTCCGGAGCTGTTTGTACTCAGCCAGATTGTTGTTGGCCAATGCCTTTTGCCGGCGGCGAATAAGGCGTTTAAGAGAGTTATTCATCCATGGCGCCTCGTTCACCGATATCGACTTTTCTTTCAAGGGCATGATTGCGTCCATTCCGGAAATGATAGCTTCTTGCATTATTTTATCCCACCCTTTTTTTTCTTTTTAATTTTGCACTTACACGTTCAGCCATGTCTGTTTTTATCCTACTTAATGATTATTTTCTATGTTCTAAAGAAATTGTGCGTGCTTAGAGAGAAATTGTCTTGCTGATGTCGGTATTAAATCTACTGAATAACAGATAACTTAATTCAAAAGGTGGTTTTATTCACAAGCCTTATTGGCTCTCTTGGCTCTGATCCCTTGCCTCAATTATTTTTAAATTTTATAATTAAGTATGTTTTGTTTTTATGGCATCCCGGTATGAAACTAGCACGGGCGCGAGTTTCATACCGGGATGACTTTTTTATTTCGTATCGCGTTACATGATGACACTAGGCAGCAGCTGGCCAAGGTTAACATCAATTTAGGGTCGTAACATGGTATATCCGGGGCCCACTGATCCCTATTTTCTTGCCTTCATTTTGATCCCTGAGCCCTATTTTCCCCAAAATTTTGATCCCTGAGCCCTAATAACAGAATTGAGCCCATCCATGATTTTACTTTGTTTATCTCGAAATATAGAATACAGAACATGTTCAAATGGGCTGATGAGAAAAAAAATTAACTTTAATTTTTATTGCAAGTTGTAGGTTCTATCAGAGCTTTCTATCCCTGCTGTTGATTTTGTAGTTTTGTGTGAATTTAATTTCCTCTTTCACTCTGTGTGTGTTACAGTGAGGATCACGATCAATTACCAATAGCAAAATACCTGTTTTACATGAAGTAGAAAAATTAAATGATGCAAGCCACAGGTTCTACAGTTTAACAGCTTTTCTGTATCAAGTCCATTAATGGCTTTCCCTGGCTTAATAACCATGTTGCAGATTGTCAGAGGACAATCCTTCCAGCTTCAAATCTAAT